GGTGCAACAATGAATGAATGGAATTCCAAAATCTCTGTAGATGTTGAAATGAAAAATAAACAAACTAAATCAAAATTTAAAAAAAAATGGCTTTCCTAGCCACTGAACTAGACTCTTCCATATATATGAGCAGAAATAGGCAAATAGGGCATATTAGCCCATCCACAAGGGGATTGGCTAGTCTCACCATTAAATTGAGCAATTTTATATTGATTTGCATCAAAATTTGTGTACCTTGTGCTTTTGTAATAATCTTTTGAAATCCCTAGTACGGTTCTGTGTGGTCTGTGAGCTATTGCATCACATTTTGGACTCAGTACAGCAGTAAAATTAGTGTTGAGATTAATAGAGGTATGGAGCCTGAGGGATATGTCTGACCTCATGGGAATTGGTTTTGTGTTATTGATGCTATTGATGGGGACAGCTCTCCTTTGTTTAGATGGTAAAGGCCAGATAGGGACATCCCCACATGGCCTTTACCTCTTTAAAAAAGGTTAGTAGTGGGATTATCTTCTTACAATTTGCTTTCTTAAAATATGTTATGAAGGGAGCTCTGGTAGCCTAGTGGCAAGAAACTGTGCTGCAATTCCAAAGGTGCATGGTTTGAATCCACCAGATGCTCCACTGGAGGAGGGGCAATCTCCTCCTGTGCCAGCTGGTTCTGATTTGACAGAACACAGCAAGTAATTAAAAAAAAAAGTTAGGAAACACCCCTCATCCCAAAGAAAAAAGTGTTATATATGTCTACATCATGGGCATGCTTTTATTAATCCACATTCTATTTACAAAGGTGAGACCTGGAACAAAGTGTGCATGACTAAATACATGAATATTCTCTCAGAAGTATAGTCCTTCTCCATCTGTTATGTGTCTTCAAGTTGGAACCAACTCATAGTGACCCTCAAGTGAATCTTCAGAGGCTGTAAATGGCACAGGAAGAGATTACCCATCTTTCTTTCATGGAGCAGCTGATACATTCAAACTGTATCCTTTAGAGTTGGCAATTCCTTGCCACTCGACCACATTTCCTAATTCTCCGTCTAAAAGTGGGACATAGAACACTTATTTCAAATACCTGAAAATGTCCATTTGCATTTCTGACCACAAAAACACATTTCTGCAATAAATCTAACCTATGCTCTCTCATCCCTGGCCAGTTTAATCCAAAGTAAACTAGCTTCAAATCTGTGTGTGCTGTTTAGAGCTACAGTTGCAACAGTGGCCTGAGGGTCTCTGCCATAGCAGAAGTGCTACAATGAAACTAGCAGTCGCTTCTTGGGATGGCAGAGAAAGAAGGAATTGAAAGCTTACTTGGTGGTTTATTAGCTTACATGTTGTGTTGCTAAACAAAAGGACAGCCGGCTGAACGCACCAATTATTCCCAAGAAGAAAGCTGGGCATTCTTCTTCCATAAAGACCTAAGGCCTCAGAAACCCAATTGCAAGGGAGGTTGCAAGGAGTCAGAATCAATTCACTGGCAGGGGGTTCTATGGGCTACACTCAGTTTTTCTGTGCAAATCTCTTTGTATCTGAAGCCTCAATGAACAGCACCTAAAATTTTCAATTTCTGCATGTGTCTTATATGCTTTGGACAATCCCTGGTCATGCTCGGTAATATAGAGAGTGAGTGAATCAATGAGATGGATTTACACAATGGCTTCAACAATGGGCTAACACACATACAGCAAACTGTAAGCATGGCACAGGATTGTTTCATTCTGTTGCCACATTTCCCCAGGTGCTAGGATGGATAGGATCAGGTACTCTCACCAGGCACACAATGCTCAGGAAACCCCCAAGCCATGAGAAATCTGGGGTTAAAGTGTTATTTACCAGTATAGCAAAACAAATTGTTTACAGCAATACTGAAAAGTCTCACTGGCCTAGACAAAATCAGACCTCTACATGGTTGGTAGGAGAGTTTATGAGAGATGTTAAAAGCTGTAATGTCACAGTGGTTAAGTTCTCATCCACCACTCTGTGAGAAAGATGTGACAGTCTTCTTCCATTGAGATTTATGTTTTTTTAAAAATGGGGTAACTACTCAGATGTGTAAATATCCAAAAGGGAGAGGGGAAAGGGGGGAAATAACAAAATTTAGTGGGAAGACTGGGAAGAGGAAGAGGGAATAGGCAAGATGCAATGGGGACTTGAAAATATGGTGTAATAATAGGCATAGATCAGTGGTAATTAATTATATGGGTTACAATGTAAATAAATGTATGGAACACAATGTAAATGAGGGATTGTATGGAACACAATGTAGATGAATGAAATACATGTAAATGAATTACTGTATGAAAATCAATTTTAAATTAAAAAAAAAATACAGCTTTTTGGGCAGTTCTACTCTGTCCTCCAGGGTTGTTAAAAGTCAGAATTATCCGGACAGCAGTGAATTTTCATTAGTGGGCTTCTATGATACAAAAGGGACAGAAAGTGGGTACAGGGAGCCAAACAAGGACAGGTGAGATCAGGCAATGTCACAAGGTCTGTGGCTCAAACAATAGAACAGATGGAATAACTGATCTGACAATATCCAGAGCAGGCAACAGACTACAAGAAGGTGCAGAGGCTTAAAAGGTAGTAAGATGCTCCCCTTCAGCTGCTCTCCCTTCCTTCTCAAAACCTATGAGACAGTAGCTGCCCCAGGGTTGGAAAAAGCTGCTTTCTAAGCCACTGACCACTGACCCTGGAAGAAGTGAGCAGTCTACCATCAACAGCTTGGAAGTCTCAGCTCCAAAGAAGGCAAAAAAAGGGCAACACTTAAAGAGTTAAGGGAGCTCTGGTGGCCTAGTGGCAAGAAGATACACTGCAATCCCAGAGGTATGCGGTTCAAATCCGCCAGATCCTCTGCTGGAGAAGGAGGGACAATCTCCTCCTGTACCAATCAGATCAGATTTGATGGTACACACAAAAAATAACAAAACAGAAATAATTTTTTAAAAAGAGTTGATAAATTATGAGGTAGAAACACCAAATTGGTCACTAATATGTTTTCATTGACAAAGAAAAAGGCTTTATTTAAATAATAATTCATCTGGGTCATCTTGTTTAATACAAAATTCTTCCATGGGTATCTGACGATTTTCAGGCCAGCAACTTTTCTCACATGTGTAAATCAAAATTATTCCAAATTCCAGGGAAAGATCTGAAAAATAAACATAATAAGCAAGTGTTATATAATATACTCAATATCTGAAGATTTGCACACTGGACAAAGACTAGAGTCTGGAGAAGAAGCAGAGTCTATACTCCCATGTTTGGCAAGTTTCTTTCTTTACCTTTTTGTGATGTTATTGTTATGTGCTGCTGAGTTGCCACCAACTCATAGGGACCTTACGTACAACAGCCCTAAACTCTGCTCTATCCTGTGCTAATTTTATTGTCTCTGACATACCTACCCCCATTAACCCTGTCACTGAATCAATTCATCTAATTGAGAGACTTTCTCTCTTGCTCTGTCCCTCCACCCTCCCAAGCATGATGTCCTTCTCCAAGGACTGGTCTCTCCTTGCAACATGTCAAAAGTATGTCAGATGAAGCTTCAGAATCCTTGTCTCCAAGGAGAAGCCTGGTTTAACCCTCTCCATGACAAACCTGTTCACTCTCTTAGCAGTCCATGGTGTATTCAATCAAAACTCTTCTCCAAAAGCACAACTCAAGGGCATTAATTCTCCTTCTATCATCTCTAGTCATTGTTCAGCTCTCTGATGATGCATAGCAAGTGATTGCAAAGACCATGGACTATATCAGGCATACTTTAGTCTCCATATTGACATCACTGCTCTTTAGTACTTTGGAGAGGTCTCTGACAGCCAACTTTGCCAATGCAATTAGTCTCTTAATTTCCTGGTTGCTGGTCCCAAGAGTTTGATTGTGGAGCCAGCAAGACCCAGTGGTGAGAATCTTTTTTTTCTTGACATTGAGCTTCAATCCATATTGAAAGCTACAGTCAGATAATATTAATCATGATTGTAAGATTAAACAGAAACTGCACATTTAAATAATCATTACAAAATAAAGAAACTAAATAATGTAAAGATAATATAATTGGAGGAGAAAGATCAAATGTCATCAGGATAACACATTTCTACAGAATAATTTCACTTTTAGAGGTTGAAAAGTAAGTTAAAGCAAAAACAGTGTCTACTGCTGTTGCTGAATAAGTACCTTTAAAATGTGATCAATAAAAAAATGTCTCCAGGAACAAAGATGGAGGCAGTGGGGGAAGCAGCCTGAGGAGCAGGAGGCGCAGCAAGCCGCATTGAAACAGCCCACCACAGCCTGCAATTTATCTATACTTGAACAGTTAAATAGTTGACTATACTGGCCTTCAATATGGACTGAGGCAAACATTAAGAGGGCAAAGATTCTCAAAAACACATGGGTGAGTCCCACTTCCACCAGCTGCATGCTGCTGAGCTGGCACTGTAGCCAGAGTGGCAAAGCCCTTGCATGGCTGGTGGCAGCGGATGCCAGTGGCCAGGGGCCCCCGCAAGGGAGGGACACAACACCATGGAGCAGCAGGAGGTGAAGGACTAGATACAGGAGAGCATCTAGCTGTCAGTGAAGAAGATTTCCTTGGATAGGTCAGAGGAGAAAAAGAAATCCTCAACACGATGGATTGATACAGTGTCTGTAGCAATGAGCTCAAGCGAGCCTCGGATTGTGGGGCTGGCATAAGATAGAGCAAGGATTAGATCTGTTGTTCATAGAATTACGGTAAGCCATAGAGAGAGCTCTGTTGGCCTAGAGGATAGAAAGTTATGCTACCAAGCCAAAGGTGGGTAATTTTTTTTTAATTTAGTTTGTTTATTTTTCATTTCAATGAACATCTACAGAGATTTTGGAATTCCATTCATTCATGCACCCTTCTCCCCGCACAAACCCCTCCCCCCTCCCAAGGTGGGTGATTTTAATCTGCAGCCCACAGGCCTGGTTTTAAGAATTTTTGCTCAAAAATTCTTCTAAGTGGTATATCATTTATTTGCCAATTAGCTGTACAGAGGTAACTTGTGGTTGCTGTGACACTAAAACACGGTGACACTGATGTGTCAAATGCAATAATGGTTACCCATGGTGGGCAGTGTTTGGCGGAGCTCCCTGATTAAAACAAGCTTGGAAGCAGGAGTGACATCCACTTCCAAAATAGCTTGCCTCCAGAAACTCTACGAACTTAGAGAAAAGATGAAAGTTATTCAGGTGTTCACAGGGTTCATAGTTCAAGTGTTCATGAAATGTTCATAGGGTTGCTTTGAGTTGTCTATGACTAGAAGGCACTTAACAACAACAACAGAACCTGGAGAGCAGATCTCCCTAATTCACCACATCTTTCTATTTCTTGACTACTGCTGCCAAGAACTTCCGGAGGGTAGTGATGTCTACCTACTTCCAATTGCAGTTGGAACACTTGGTGGAGGGAAGAGGCACAATGGTGTTGGCACTGGAGCCAGGAGTGTTGTTCCTGGCCCTGATCTCCAGTGGAGCGCAGGGTCCAGACCTCGGGGGATTTTTGGTGGGGGGAGTGCCACCTGGTCTCCGAGGACTGCCATCCAACTTTCGGAGAATACAGCCCAGCCACTAAGGAGAGCCTCCTCAACCCTAGGGTGTGCCACCCAGCCCCCGGGGAGAGCAGCCCAGTGCCCAGAGAGACCTGTCAGGTTGCTGGGGAGAGCAGCCTAGTGTATATGAGGAATTCTAAGTCACTTTCCTCCACCTTCTTCTCCAGTACATCTGTAAGTAACACCTCCAAAGCCCTTCTCTTTGTAACTCACAAGTTTGTTCTCTCTAGGTTTGTTCCTTTTTCTATAGGTAACCTGAACACTGAATCTTGCTCCAGACCTGAACCCTGAGCCCAATTCCAGAGACAAAAAGGAAATATAACTACTATCTAAGGAAGCAAAGGAGGATGGAACCTCAAGTTTCAGCTAGCAAGTTCCACTGGACTCACCTTGGCAAACACTTTGCAGTCGAGAGGGCAGAAAATGTCAGGAAAATATCTTCTAACTAAACAAGAAGGCATGCCGCCTCAACTCAGGATGACCAGTAATGTGTTAAAGGGGGCTCCTCTTCCCCTTCACCTCATGAAGAAGCCACAGAGTCTGCTCCCCATTCCCAAATGAGAAACCCACAAGTGAATGAGAAATTTTTTTGTTAAAAAAAAAACAATCACCACCATTGGACTATGCTCACCATTACCCTATCTCTTCTGGTCCCCACTGAATCTTTCTAATTTCCTTCATGCACTCCCTCCACCCACCAAAATGTGCAGCCCTGTGATTTCATCCCTGTCCATCCTCACTCTTCTGCCTCCAACTCTTACCCACTTGTATCCCGATTCATGTTTTTTTTAAATTTTTTTTTTTAATTTTATTGGGAAAAACATGTTGGGGATACACAGAGGTGAGAGTTGGGAGCAGAAGGGTGAGGATGGGCAGCATTGAAAATTGTAGGGATGCAGTTGCAAGGCTGTACAATTTGGTTGGAGGGCGGAGCAGGTGAAGGAAATGAAAAGGATCCAGTGGGGACCAGATGATTCAGGGCAATGGTAAGCATAGTCCAATGGTGATTAAACAAACTGTCTTTTTCACTTATGGGTTTCTCATTTGGGAATTGGGCGCAGACTCTCTGGTTTCTTCATGCTGAACAGGGGCATTGATGTGAAGGGGGAAAGGGAGCACACTTTATCCCCTTACTGGTGGTTTTGGGTTGGAGCTACTTGCCTTCTTGTTCTGTTAGAAGATGTTTTCCTGACATTTACTCCCCTCTGGACTGCAAAGTGTTTTCCCAGGTGGATGCAGTGGGGATGGCTGACTGAACCCTGAGGCTCCATCCTCCTTTGCTTCCTTAACTGGCTGTTGTATTTCCTTTTTGTCTCTGGAACTGGGTTCAGGGTCAGGTCTAGAGTAAAACTCAGTGTTAAGGTTACCTATAGAAAAGGAAGCAAATCTAGAGAGAACAAACTTGTGAGTTACAAACAGAAGGGCTTTAGGGGGGTTACTTATGGGTGTACTGGGGGAGAGGGTGGAGGAAAGTAGTCTTGATTAAAATTCTCTGTATACCCTAGCCAGTTTTTTCTACCCAGGAGTCTGATGGTACAATACAAGGGCTGAGGAGCTCACCCGAAGGGCCAACTCGCCCCACTGGGGGCTGAATGAACCACCAGCCCCAAGTGCTGGATGGCAACCCCCGTGGGCCAAGTGACACACCCCCGGGGTTGGCCAGCACACCCCCCACCAAAGTCCCCCACAAGTCTGGACCCCGCACCTCACTGAAGACCATGTGACCAGGGACAGCGTCCCCAATTCCAGTACCACCACCATTAACCCCACCCAATAAGTGGTCATACTATAATTTGAAGTAGGTGTCACTGCCCTTATCCTTTATAAGTGGAGAAGGGGACCTGAGAGTAGTGAACAGACCTCCCCCCAGGTCTAAACAGTTCTTGGCAAAGGCAGACAGCAGATCAAAAGATGTGGTGCATTGAGGATATCTGCCATCTTGGACATGCTGGCACAGTTAAATGTCGTTGAGTCGTAGACAGCTCATAGAGACACTCATCAATCCATTGTATTGGTAATCTTCCTCTCTGGCCTGCCCAGGGAAGCCCCAACCTGCCAACGCCACCATCTTGGCTCCAAGAATTCTCCCTACCATCCATCTTGGGTGAGGGGATCTCTGGGGTTTGGTGGTGGGAGCCTCATGGAGCTGCAGCGGCAGCACAGACTCAGCAGCAGGGGGCTGGGAGCCGCAGGACTCACCCATTCCTCCCTGGGACTCCTTGATCTCCTGATGTTGAGCCTTAATTCACACCGAAGACTAGTCATCAACTGTTTAACTGTTCAATTATCAATAAACAGAGGTCTGTAGAAGGCCATGGTGGCCCTCCTCCATGTGGTCTGCTGCTCCCGCAGCTTGCCATGTTGTTTTCTGCCGCCACCACCATTATGGAATGCTAATTAATTTCATTCACTGTTGCAATTTTTTCCTTGCCCAATCTCCCCCCATACATGTTTTTTACAATGAAAAAAATAAAGTTGGAAATAAAAAAAAAAAAAAAAGAAAATGTCTCCATGCACAATTAGGAGAGGATAACATTGATGAATAGAACCTTCTAAAGATTAAGTCCCAGCATAGAATATGAATAGA